AAAGCTGGGGGGTAGGGAGAGGGGGGCGTTCTAATCTTCACGTAATCTTCTTGGCCTGAGGTTGTTGAGAGAAGGTGAGGTATAAGGTAAGCGGATCTCACCTCACACAGGCAGGGGGCGTGGGGGGTCCACCTACACGACCTTCCTTCTCGAGTGACCTGACGAATGTGTGTGTGTGGTGATGGTGGGTCGAAGGGACACAACAAGGTATCATTCTAATCTTGTACAGATCCCATATAACTTAACCTAATCAAGCACTAGTTTAGGTTAGGTTAGTGATATCGCATGTTAGGTATTACAGTCTCGTATTTTACATGTCTGATAAGTTTTCATAAACTGTAAATAATAAAGAATAAACAAAATTAAAAATACCTTATTATTATTTGTCCTAGGGCGCTTTTGTCCTACACTCCATCCTCTCATATAGTGTGAGGGCGATAACTCTTCAGGTGAAATAAGCTGGGGGCAAAGATTTTTCATGTGATCACAAAAAAAAACACGACTCATTGTGTGGAAAGGTGTTTACGAGAAGCCAAGCCTCTACCGGTCTGGCCTAACCCACGGAAATGTTTGGTTTACGATTTCCTTAAGTATTATGTTAAGTGTCCATATTACCTGAGGCGTCACACTTCACCACGACCTCTTACTCCCACCACCACCACCACCTCCCCCTCTTCATTGTTTTTCTTTTTCGGATCACCTGAAGAATATCCACCCCAGTAGCTTACTTACTTATTTTACCTAAAGATTAACCACCCTAACGCTAAACTTAACCTAACTTACCACTCTAAAGCTAAACTAAACCTAACTTACCACTCTAACGCTAAACTAAACCTAACTTACCACTCTAACGCTAAACTAAACCTAACTTACCACTCTAAAGCTAAACTTAACCTAACTTACCACTCTAACGCTAAACTTAACCTAACTTACCACTCTAACGCTAAACTAAACCTAACTTACCACTCTAACGCTAAACTTAACCTAACTTACCACTCTAAAGCTAAACTTAACCTAACTTACCACTCTAACGCTAAACTTAACCTAACTTACCACTCTAACGCTAAACTTAACCTAACTTACCACTCTAAAGCTAAACTAAACCTAACTTACCACTCTAACGCTAAACTAAACCTAACTTACCACTCTAACGCTAAACTAAACCTAACTTACCACTCTAACGCTAAACTAAACCTAACTTACCACTCTAAAGCTAAACTAAACCTAACTTACCACCCTAAAGCTAAACTAAACCTAACTTACCACTCTAACGCTAAACTAAACCTAACTTACCACTCTAACGCTAAACTAAACCTAACTTACCACTCTAACGCTAAACTTAACCTAACTTACCACTCTAACGCTAAACTAAACCTAACTTACCACTCTAACGCTAAACTTAACCTAACTTACCACCCTAAAGCTAAACTAAACCTTACTTAACCTCATCCCCCCAAAATAGTGTTATGACTGTTTAATCTTCCCAGATATAAAAGGTTTCGCCAAATTAACTCAAGCCAGGATAATCTGTGACTGGTTGACATGAGATTAACACGCGATATCACTTTAGACCACGCCCCTCCTGACCTGACCTGACCTGACGAGGAGGGGCAGTATTACCTATATTACCACACAACTGAACTCAATAAAACCAGTACTAGAACGAGGTTGACATAGAGAACACTACTTGCTACCTTGAGTGGAAGCATAGGAGAAAATCTCACCGGGAAAAACATTAACAGAACGCAAAGTTAATACTGTGACACCTTACCTATCCCAAGTGAGTTTTCCGTCAGTGCAGTGTTTACATCACCTTCATCTACACGTTTAAGTGGGCATCTTTATTGGGAAACAAATCCTTTAAAGGTAAGTGTACATTATTATTATTATTATTATTATCAGTATTATAAAACATGTCCTTAACAGTGCCTGGGGGGACGGGTTAGCTTTGGTGGTTAATCAAAGTGTGAAATAAGGTATAGGCGAATTTTCAGATGCTCCATTTTCAAGACGGGGGATTCTGAGTTTAAATTGTACATTTTCAGGTGAGGATGGGTCAGGGTAGCTCGTGTGTGTGGGCGTCTCGGGTGCGTGAAGGCCTCCTGGACAAGGCTCGTGACAACATCAATCACAACACGGTAAGTCTCGTCCATCATCCTCCTCTCTGTTTATTCGTCATTATCCAACTTTTTTTTTATGATGGGTGTTTAAATAAATGACTACGCGTTTTACTATTAGTTTAGTATTATTTATGAAAGTATGTCGTGTTTATTAGCCGTTTTTTGAGGTCAGTTCATGGTTACTCTCCTCTCTCTCTCTTCAAAAATCCCAACCTGCCTTTCCATCCACAGTACCGAGTCGAGCGAGTGTGGTGGACTCAGCGTTGCCAGTGGCCATCCCTGCCTGGCCACCCTGTAGAGGAGGAGGAATTCCATGTGTGTGAGATCCTCGTCACCTCCCTCGGCCACGAAGACAACACCCACCAACTCCACCCTGACCATCATATCACTCCATCTCGTGCCGAGGAGGTGGGGGAAGGTTGGATGCCCGTGTACCTTCGTCATAACAATACTATATTCTGAGTATCTTAGAGCATCGGGGATTATTATGACTGGTGTACATAGAACTAAGTTTAGGTCATTACGGCAGACATAGTGGAGGCTGCCATACTTGTATTTACAATTATTTTTAATGATTCACGAGAAGTTTCGCACCAGATTTTGATGTTTTATTGAAAAAATGAGATGATGTTATTAGTGGATATTATACCTAAGTGTCATTGTTGAAATAATGTTTACAGCGGTGCTTAATATTTTTTTTTATAAGTTAAATGATATGCTTATTTATATTATCTAGATTTATAATAGTACAATACTTCAATAGAAAGCAAAAACAATTGTGTCCAGTCAAGTGTATAATTATGTAAAAGGGTGTTTGGTCTACCCATTTTTACAAAGTACTACAGACGATAGTTCTCACAGCGTATGTAGATTTACAAATGTGTTTTAGATTAATTATTTACATGATTAGCCTTACAAAGGTGATGTAGAACCAACTTCCTATGGTATCAGCTTTACAATTGTATTTTAGGTCCAAATTTATTATAGGTAAACTATTTACATAATTTTACAAATGTGTCTCAGGTCAACTACAAAACCAGATAGCTTTACTAAGGTGCTCGAGGCATGTTAGTCAGAGTATCACCAGTCTCAGGTAGTTCTCAGCTGACGAGTTTAAAAAGTGACACATGATATGTATTGTATCTTAATGCAATATAAGTATCCTAGCTTTGTGGTATAATGTATTGGTCAAAGTCAATAAGGCAAGTTGTATATTAAAATGTACGTTAAAATTTGTAAGAAATCTAGTGTCAGTATGTTAAACTATGCAATACAGTACAGTAGATAAAGTATCAATGTATACGTTAAAAGTTTACATAAAAATTGATGTAAATGTATTTGCCTTATTTTCTTGAAACAGGTTACTCGTGCTGTTAACAGGCAAGTACGATATAATAAAGAACACCTACATTTCGGGTTTCTAGACAATATATCTTCTACTGATTCTATATGTGTGTGTTGTATGTGTTAAAGTGCGTCTCCTCAGTAAACAAGATCATTCACCTACTGTACGGACTTCGGGGTGCGAGTCGTCATCTTTATATTATCAGTTGACCAGAAGTAGGTATTGCTACTCTTCTTACACACTATTAGTTTCCTTGGGCGTCTGTTTAAGAAATCAGAATAAGATACTTTCTGGGCGTGCGGTTCTCGACGCTTCAATTTTTCAAATGTCAGCCCCTCAAACTATTCCTCCTAAATATATATGGTTCTCTGTTTTTAATATTTAGTTGAACCACTTAAAAGGAAAATACAAAGATGGTGATTTTAATAGTGCTGGAGTGAACTGAAATTGTACTATAGTGGACCTTGACGAGTTCTCTCTCTCTCAGTAATGCGGATGATGGTTGAGTGCTCGAATTTTGACACTCCGGATCTAACTCGTTATTTATAAGTAAAAACTACGTACCGGTGCCTTATTCCCTGAACCAAACACGGATGGTAAGAACCCTAATAGAGGATGTCCTTTCTTCCCAGCCGGAGTGTCTTGGTAAGTCAACTGTGAAGGATCTATTATGATTCTTGTGCGGTTGACTTGAGATTTTCGTGTGTGTAATTATCGGTTTACAAAATTCTAGAACCTCTGACCTTTTTCTTCTTTTTTTAATATGCCTCGTCCACATTAATTCTAATTCATTAAATATAGTTTATATCTGTGTACACTCGCCACAAAAGATATCTGCAACGAAGGATTTTGACAATCTTACCGAGACAACAGGAGTCGCAGTGTTCATTTTGAGATTCATTGGACCTCACCTTGCAGATACAGTACTTTCTGTAGCGAGTGTACCTCAATTAAACAATTCTGGTTTTTGTTTCTTTACCGACACCTTCATCCTCCACCACACCCGTGCCTATATCCTCCACTACACCCGCGCCTCTATCCTCTACCACACCCGCGCCTATATCCTCCACTACACCCGCGCCTCTATCCTCCACCACACCCGCGCCTATATCCTCCACTAAGCTTCATTGAACCATGAAGTATTATAAACAATATTTGTCTATCTTAGTTGTTCGGTCGTGGCATTTAATCACGTGCAGGTAGTTTTCAACTTTATTTGTGGCTCATTGAAACTTAAACTTAACCTGAGAACAGATCATGTTGTCTAAAATGAAGAGATTTATAAGAGATATTTACAAGTGCCATTTGGCCCCATTGCTAGTTATACCATAATGGATGTTTATCAGTGCGTGGAAAATATGATTTACCAGACCATTTGACACAACAATTGTTTATTCTTAAGCACTCTACGAACTACTCATGAAGCAGCCAATGGCACAAGAAAAATAAATCAGAAATGCACAAAAAGTGTCCACCAAGTAATAATGTTACGCATCTTAAGACAATTATCACGTTAATTGGTGACTCCTACCTACAGGGCTCAGGGCCATGAGTGCCAATGTGGAGCCTTCGTTACTGGGCCTCATGGCGAGGTCGAAGTGTTCGCTCTTCCCGACACGCATGTACCCAGCTGTGACGACAAGATATGCCAAGAGGAGGCGGGAACCTTAATTTCTGCATACTAACAGACCGTCATTGTATTATCCTCTGTCATAATAGTGAGTTCTATTTAACATTGTTCGTTACAATACTCAAAGAAGTGTAGACGTTTATATTGTCTCTGAACTTCTTGAGTGGAATAACACAATTAAATGGCTGTTTTCAGTGGAACAAACGTGTAACCCATGGATGTATGATTATGAACATTCATTATTCATTGACCTGCGGAGGTTAGAGGTTGTTCATAAGTGCGAACGCTTGGCGTAGCCATAGCAACCGGCTTTTAGTCATGCGGACTGGCTGGGTGTTGTGACTAAGTGCCGCAGTATGATGTTCATAATTATATATACATGGGTTACAAACTCACCAACAACGACGGCGAGACAGTGGGCCAGCATCTGTGTGACTTGATGGCTAAGGAGGGTCACGAGAACGTCGGTCCACACCAGGTAAGTGTTGTAGAGAGGAGAAAAGGGGTGATGAAAGTAGTAGGAGAATAAAGAGAAAGAGAACCTGACATATAAATGAATAACACTTGCAATGCCCATTATTAAAACAAAGATGCACACACACACACACACACACACACACACATTTACAACAATAGAATCTGTTACTTGTAAAGAAGTATTTAACAAATGAGATCGTCCATGGCGTCAAAGTTCAAATACATCTGATGTATTAGTCTTCACATATTAAGGTATCTGATTTCAATACAGTTGTACCTGTACTCGAGGTTCTGTGACGGTGTATTGGGTATCACCCTTGCTTGTAAATTACGAGCACAACTCAGCCTGTAGCATTCACATCTACTGCCAGCGTTAAGATAAACAATATACCTGTATTTTCTACAACAACTTCAGCTTAAATTCCATCATATTGCACTCAATCACCAAATGAGAACATTTGTTCTACTAACTACCTGAGCCTGAATGCCAACTATTGTATCCTAAGTAACGGGAGAGACGAGAACAAAACAATAAGTTATTCCAATTACCAACCTAGGTGGCTGCCCTAACTTCTTCCCGCTAACCACCAATAAAACTTCCTGTTCGTGGATCTAGTTTTTTTATAACTCAGTGATGGACTAGAGAATGTTGTACTTATGACAGCATGTCGTGTGAGGCGCAACATAACTGCCAAGTTGTACAGCTTAAGAAACACTATCAAACAACTTTGTCAATTGTATGGTATTATATTGGGTGAACTGAAGGCTAACTACAATATAAGGAAAATGTTCTTCAGAGCCTTGAACTATCTGAGGCTGGCGGATCAATCCCATGCTACATGCGACTGTTTACTAATATAGTCACTCTCTTCTCCTGCTGTAGTTTCATATGTTATGTATTTCCTTGCCTTAGCTTTGAATTGCTTAATACCGTAACTGGTTTTCATGTGGTTAGGTTAATTCATATATTTTCAGTTTATTTACTCTACGGGAAGTGACCGTCAGATTTGGTGTACATCACTCGCCAGGTCTCTTATAAAAAAAAATAAATGCCACTGCAGACAAAAGAGGCGAACTAATATGTGTCCCGATAGTAATGGAGTGGATGGAAACATTTAATTGCTTCTTTAGACCCTCTTGACTTAGGAAATGTTCTTTAGACAATATAATTCACATTAATTTAGAAAAAAACATTCATATATTTTTTTTAGACAATATAATTCAGGTATTTTGCTTAGACAGAATAACTGGTAGTTTTTCAGATACAGTATAGTACCATAACGCCTTTATCGCTTATCTCAGAGCTAATGCAACTTATTATATATTCTTAAAAGGTAATGAATGTATATCTTATATCAAGCTTAGTTGTTCATAAGAGACGATATAGCGATGGTAAGGTGTACTGTAAACTGAAATTCTGTATTATTGTTTTTATATCTAAATATATCAACTGTATGCTGACATTTGTGAATAAAGTTTCTGAATTAGATTTTTTTTAAATCCATACTATTTATTTTAAGTTTAAATTTAGATAATACTATTTATTTTAAGTTTAAATTTAGATAAACTCCCTGAATATAATTGAACTTTCTGAATTTAAATAAACAGTTTGAATTTATATGAACCTTCTGATTCTAAATGAACTTTCTGAATTTAAATAAAGTTGTCAACGGAGCAGTTTTCTTCTTTTAATTTAAGCATGTCTGTGATTTAGGTTAAAAGACAGTCTTGGGGGACTTAAGGATCCCCTACACTGCCTTGGTCAACAAAACCATCAAGCGACGACCAGGATCTTCAACAATTACTCGCGTTAATTCTCTTAAGATGATAGTACGGGACATGAGTGACCTAAGTAGATAGAATATAGGTAGTATATTAATATTCAGGAAGTGTGTCATAAAGTTCATGTCGATTCATCGTGTACATAGGCAGTGCAGACATCACTTTATTTAGCACCGAGATTCCAAGTGTAATAGTTGCAAAAAAATGTTGTGTTCCCTCTCACTCATGTTGGGAATATATGAGAAAACAGACTCGGGTGTGGATTTTACAGTCCTGTCCTTCTCTCCTGCTTCTGCTGAAGAACGACGTAGTTGAATCAGGTCATTACCGCCGCCTCACGGAAAGCCCAGTTGAAGTGACCAACACACCCTCGCAGATGGGAAGAAAATTGCTTCTTTACTAACACTACCGCGCGTACTGGAACTGACGTCAATGTGACGTCACGCCACTTAGGTCTCCTACGCCTCCGCCGGTATATAAATGGTGGCGACGAACACTAAACCACACACTAGACTGGTCAGCAAGACGCACTGAAATACCTTCGAGATCCTTGTATCCTACAATACAGTCTTGTCCTCGACGACAGTACTTAAGATAATGGTGAGTTGATACCAGCAGCTGACACCATCACCATACTTATTTTTAGATAAATTAACACAACTACTTACTGCCATCACACACACACTGAAGTGATCTCGCCATCAGCACCATAACCTAGTAGTTGTCAGCAAAACTATTATTAACGTTTACACACAAAACAGTAAATAACACCACTGTCACATCACCCGTCGCCACAATAACTCTCTCTCTGACACGACTAGAATTATTAAACATTACAGATAAAAAGAGTGAGTATGCGTGAGATTTACAAAGGGACAAGAACAAATCTTTTCCGACTACAAGCACGAATGCACGCGTCAACTGACAGTTTACAAATGACTGACACAAAGTTTTCACACAAATTTCGACTTGAGTTTTCAGGAACTAGCTCATCTAAGTTAAGGCATTGCATATATTAATTACTTTACCAATACTGACACTGATGTTCTGTATTAACCTACTTATGGTGTCGCCAGACTGGACCCTCTGTGTGGACGGTGAGGAGCTGGGTGGTGACGGTGGCGGTGCTGGTACTGACGGAGGAAACCCACCTCGCTATGGCCGCCGGCAGGAACAACAAGGTGGTGTGTTACTACTCCTCCTGGGCCCACTACAGACACGGTAAGTTAGTATAACATCACTCCTGCCTTAATACGCTAAGTATATCCTCACCATATACACTAATGTGGTACAGGTGTGGTGTACACTATTGTACTGGAGTGATGTACACCCACCTCACACACTACTGTTGTACAGAAGTGATGTACACACCCACCTCACACACTGCTATTGTACAGGAGTGATGTACACACCCACCTCACACACTACTGTTGTACAGGAGTGATGTACACACCCACCTCACACACTACTGTTGTACATAAGTGATGTACACACCCACCTCACACACTACTGTTGTACAGGAGTGATGAACACACCCACCTCACACACTACTGTTGTACAGGAGTGATGTACATACCCACCTCACACACTACTGTTGTACAGGAGTGATGTACACACCCACCTCACACACACTACCACAGTGATGTACACACCCACCTCACACACTACTACTATTGTACAGTGGATACACACCCACCTCACACTACTGTTGTACAGTGTACACACCCACCCTGCCATTGCAGGGTGATGCACACACCCACCTCACACTACTGTTGTGAGATGTACACCCACCTCACACACACACTACTGTTGTGCAGGAGTGATGTACATACCCACCTCACACACTACTGTTGTACAGGAGTGATGTACACACCTCACACACTACCTCACCTCACACTACTGTTGTACAGGAGTGATGTCACACCTACCTCACACACTACTGTTGTACAGGGTGACTACTGTTGTACAGGAGTGATGTACATATACCTCACACACTACTGTTGTCACCCACCTCACTACTGTTGTACAGGAGTGATGTACATACCACCTCACACACTACTGTTGTGCTGTACCTCACCTCACACACTACTGTTTTACAGGAGTGATGTACACACCCACCTCACACACTACTGTTGTACAGGAGTGATGTACACACCCACCTCACACACTACTGTTGTACAGGAGTGATGTACACACCCACCTCACACACTACTGTTGTGCAGGAGTGATGTACACACCCACCTCACACAATACTGTTGTACAGGAGTGATGTACACACCCACCTCACATACTACTGTTGTGCAGGTGTGGTGTACACACCCACTACTGTTGTACAGGTGTGGTGTACACACCCACCTCACACACGACTGTGGTACAGGTGTGATATACACACTCACCACACACTACTGCTGTACAGGAGTGATGTACACACCCACCTCACACACTACTGTTGTACAGGAGTGATGTACATACCCACCTCACACACTACTGTTGTACAGGAGTGATGTACATACCCACCTCACACACTACTGTTGTACAGGAGTGATGTACACACCCACCTCACACACTACTGTTTTACAGGAGTGATGTACACACCCACCTCACACACTACTGTTGTACAGGAGTGATGTACACACCCACCTCACACACTACTGTTGTACAGGAGTGATGTACACACCCACCTCACACACTACTGTTGTACAGGAGTGATGAACACACCCACCTCACACACTACTGTTGTACAGGTGTGGTGTACACACCACACACTATTGCTGTACAGGTGTGTTGTACACACTCACCACACACTACTGCTGTACAGGTGTGGTGTACACACCCACCTCACACACTACTGTTGTGCAGGTGTGGTGTACACACCCACTACTGTTGTGCAGGTGTGGTGTACACACCCACTACTGTTGTACAGGTGTGGTGTACACACCCACCTCACACACGACTGTGGTACAGGTGTGGTGTGCACTCTCACCTCACACACTACTGTTGTACAGGTGTGGTGTACACACCCACCTCACACACTACTGTTGTACAGGTATGGTGTACACACTCACCTCACACACTACTGTTGTACAGGTGTGGTGTACACACCACACACTACTGCTGTACAGGTGTGGTGTACACACTCACCACACACTACTGCTGTACAGGTGTGGTGTACACACCCACCTCACACACTACTGTTGTACAGGTATGGTGTACACACTCACCTCACACACTACTGTTGTACAGGTGTGGTGTACACACCACACACTACTGCTGTACAGGTGTGGTGTACACACTCACCACACACTACTGCTGTACAGGTGTGGTGTACACCCACCTCACACACTACTGTTGTACAGGTATGGTGCACACACTCACCTCACACACTACTGCTGTACAGGTGTGGTGTACACACCCACTACTGTTTTACAGGTGTGGAGTACACACCCACTTTACACACTACTTTTGTACAGGTGTGGTGTACACACCACACACTACTGCTGTACAGGTGTGGTGTACACACTCATCTCACACACTACTATTGTACAGGTGTGGTGTACACACTCACCTCACACTACTGTTGTACAGGTGTGGTGTACACACTCACCTCACACACTACTGTTGTACAGGTGTGGTGTACACACTTATCTCACACACTACTATTGTACAGGTGTGGTGTACACATTCACCTCACACACTACTGCAGTACAGGTGTGGTGTACATACCCACTACTGTTGTACAGGTATGGTGTACACACTCACCTCACACACTACTGTTGTACAGGTGTGGTGTACACACTCACCTCGCACACTACTGTTGTACAGGGGCGGCGCAGTACAGGGTGGACGACGTGCCCGTGGAACTGTGCACACACGTCATCTACGCCTTCGCGGTTCTGGACGCCAACTCTCTCACCACCGTCGAGCACGACCCTCACCTGGACAAGGACCAAGGACTAGCCAACTACCGCCGCTTCCTGCGTCTGCGTTCACGGAACCCCCAAGTGAAGGTGAGGCTCCCTACACTTGCCCCGGTCCCTACACTGACACCTGCCCGAGTACCAACACTGACACTTGCCCCAGTACCTACACTGACACCTGCCCCGGTGCCTACACTAACACCTGCCCCAGTACCTACACTAACACCTGCCCACGTATCTACACTGACATTTGCCCAGTACCTACACTGACACCTCTCCCAGTACCAACACTGGCACTTAATACTTACCCTGGTACAGTCACCCAAAAAAGTCCTGTCGCGAACCATGAACCCCGAGATTCAGACTCTTGAATCCGAAGCATTTATGGACAGAATAATGTACCAGTGTCTACTGCTTTGGGTTCACGAGTCTTAATCTCGGGGTTCGTGGTTCGCGACAGGACTTTTTTGTGTAACTGTACATAAACTGACACCTAATACTTGTTATGGTACATACACTGACACCTAGTACCTGGCATGGTACCTTCACTGCCCCGCCTAACACAAAACGATGTACAGAAACATTTCCTAAAAGTACACAATTATAGTTATCAATATGTGTAACGTGGTGTTGGCAGCTGCTGCTGGGGCTGGGTGGCTGGACGGACTCCAGGAGTGATAAATACTCCCGGCTGGTGTCCAACTCACAGCGTCGCGCCGCCTTCACCGCCCACGTCGTCCGTTTCCTCCAAGATTATGGCTTCGACGGCCTCGACCTAGACTGGGAGTACCCCGCCTACCAGAGTTCCGCTGCAGACAAGGAAGGTGAGTGTTAACTGTAGACGACTGGTCTCTGTTGACTCAACGCGTACTGTACAGTTGTAACAACTACCACAGTATTGACTTTGGCTGTATATTAATGGTACTCGTACACGTGTTTAGGTTTCCGTCTGTGGGTGGAAGAACTACGAACTGCCTTCAGTCCTCGCGGCCTCCTGCTGACAGCTGCCGTGTCTGCCAGTAAGAGCGTAATTGACCGTGGCTACGACGAACCAGCCGTGGCCACAGCACTGGACCAGATTCACCTCATGACCTACGATTTTCATGGGTCATGGGAAAAGCAGGTGGCTCATCATGCCCCACTCTTCCCCGTGCCCGGACAATCCCACCAATTTTCCGCTGACTTTGCTGTCAACCACTGGATCAAGAAAGGGGCACCACCGGCCAAGTTGGTGCTGGGTGTCCCCTTCTACGGCCGCTCATGGACGCTGGCGGGCAGCGATGCGTCCACTGGGGCTGCAGCGTCAGGTCCAGGCCGTCCAGGACCTCTCATGAAGGATTCCGGGTCTCTGGCCTACTACGAGGTGTGTCTGGCTCACGAGCGGGACGGCTGGACGAAAGTGTCTAGCGGAGAAGCACCTCACTTGACCAGTGACGACCAGTGGGTGGGATACGACGACATCGACACCGTCACTAGGAAGGTGGGTAGCGGGGCCTCTGGGTCTAAACACAAGGCTGAGTTAGTGATATTACGTGTGTACAAGTTACACGAGTTTACCTTTAAGTACTATCCACTCTTAAACAACACAAGGTATGTTTGGTGTTCCTAAAACATGTTTGTAAGTTACCTCATCTTGCAGGCTCAGTACGCCCTCAAGAAGGGTCTGGGCGGCGTCATGATCTGGGACATCGCCATGGACGACTTTCGGGGCTCCTGCAGCGCCGGAGTCAACCCACTACTCTCCGCCATCTCCAGGACCCTCAGGGGCGCCTCGGGCTTAAGGCTCACAGGACCACCAACTACAGTAATGTCAGTATTATTCACCCTTAAGGCACTTTATTGAATGGATTACTTGGGATAACTCAACTTGTGTTGTGTAATTGAGACAAGAAAAAAATCCTTGCTCTTCATTGTGTTTAATTTCACCAGGCCAACTCGCCCTCGGCCTATCATACCTACACACCCGGAGCCTCCACGATCCATCACATCTCGCCCAAGACCCACCACGGCCTCTCCCACCATGCAGCTCAACTTAGCAGAGTGTAGACGTCTAGAGTACACGGCGGACCTTGTCAACTGTGACCACTTCTACCGCTGTATCAATGACAAAGTCTTCCACTTCCAGTGTCCAAAAGGCCTCCACTGGCGCCAGAGTCGCGCCTCCTGTGATTGGCCCAAGGCTGCCCTCTGTAAGGCCCGCTCGGTCACGTGAACCAGGCTGTGGTCCTCTGTCCCTACGGCCCGACTGACCTTCAGCCGGATTTGACCCGAGAAACTAAGGGTCATGGGCCTCCTCTATCAGCTCCTGTGATCTGCAGTGACTTACCAAGAGTGTTGAAGACTACAGTAGTAAGGCTGAAAGTACAGTACTTTCCAAAGAAACCAACAGACTTTAAGAAGTATCATACTTCAAGTATTGTTCTGAAACTGTCAGTGTGAGAAAGTCAGGCGGGAACTGTCTTCCTCCAGCTGTCAGAGTGAGGTTATCAATCTTCATCAAGTTACACACAGTAGATTTTAATAATATAAAACACTTCCTGCTGTCGAGGAAAACAATTATTTTGCTTATTTAATATGGTGTCAGCTATTTATAAACATTTATTATCAGAAGAACAAAGTTTACAACATTTGTTATTTAATATTTTGATAATTGACTGAATGAATAAAATTGTTTAAACTAGTCTAGTTAATTACTGTATTTATCCCTCGTATTTGACTATATTACTGGTCTCTTTATCTATTAACTAATCATATCATTAACAATGCATTTGTCTAATTAAATTGTGATCACCTATACTTTCCAAACTGTCAATAACACTACCAGTGGTCAGTGTACAGTCATGTGCTCATAAATGCTTCAATTGGTACCTTGTGTCTTACAGTATAAGTGTTGGGCTCAAGTCACTACAGTAACAGGTTTCATTGCTTATGGAAAATTAAAAACTACTTTCACATTTTTGTTATTTCATTTGTTATTAAGTTTGGAAGAAATCTTAAAAGGTTTAATGGTAAAGTTCTTTCAAAGTTAAATATACATTGTAATAATCATAATTAATCTTAGTAGTAATGATGATATTAATTGAATCATAACAATACTATACCAATATTATAATGCATACCCAGAAAGGTATTTACTTAGATAAAACAATTGAGTAACTTGGTGCTTTTAGGAGTAACTAACCTGAATGACTTATTACAGAAACCAACAAGTAAAATATGTGGATTAATAATGATAACACTTACTGATGCTTCTAGCCATTTATCATATCTTCACCAATTAAATTTAAATATATAAGCGAATAGTTAATAATTATCTACACATCTCTCTTGTTGGTCATTGTAATAGCTCCAAAAAGTATCTTTACGGTGGTGTGTCTAATGAATTTAAAAATGAACACTGTGACTCCTTTGTCTCGGTAGGGTTGTCAGAATCCTTCGTGCCATATTGTCTCACACAAAAGCGTAAAGATACTTTTTGGAGAGAGTTTGTATATATCATAATTAACTACTAAAACCCGTTCGCCTTCCCCTTGAACCACAAACCCCGAGATTCAGACTCATGAATCTGAAGCATCTTTAACTCTAATACAATAAAGGGTTATAGAAAGAGAATAATCAGATTTATTTATTTATTTATATATATATATATATATATATATATATATATATATATATATATATACATATTAAAAAATCTGGGCTCTCTTTATCAGTGATTGTGTTAACATGAAACACTTAATCAACAACAACGGGAGGCTACAGGTTTGGGTACAAGTCTACACACACTCACATAGACACAAAAGCACACAAATTGCTTGGTTCCAGTGCTATGTTACATCTTAATAACATGTACTATAAAGAGTCCAACTGGCATCTCTTTACAGGATTATACAGTAATCGGGATATTGTATTTCCTCTTATGGTGATAAATACTAATGTTGGGTGTGTATGTCACTATCCCAACAGTACAAGTGTAAATAATACTAATCATTGTGTTTCTTGGAATGGAAACTTCCAATTGGAACTTCCTGTTGATTAAACATTTAGAGTGACGTCATCCAGGTGATGCCATCAGGATTTGTCGTTTACAGAGTTTTAGCTTAACTGGCGGGGGCAATATTTACTGAAACAGACAACACGAGTGAGAGTTCAGCAGTGTGGCCTTCTGGTGACTTCAGTAGGTGGAGTGTCAGTAAAGTTGAAGACTGATGAAATACTTCAGCAGGATGAAGTTCAGTTGTTTTGTGAGAGTTAAGTCGAGGAAAGAGAGGTGAAGGTTCAGTAGACAAGGCAGCAGGTGAGGAAGGTTCAGTAGATGAGGCAGCAGGTGAGGAAGCTTCAGTAGAGGAGGCAGCAGGTGAGGAAGGTTCAGTAGAGGAGGCAGCAGGTGAGGAAGGTTCGGTAGAGGAGGCAGCAGGTGAGGAAGGTTCAGTAGAGGAGGCAGCCCGTGAGGAAGGTTCAGTAGAGGAGGCAGTGGGTGAAGGAGGTTCAGTGAGGCAGCAGGTGAAGGTTCAGTAGACAAGGCAGCAGGTGAGGAAGGTTCAGTAGAGGAGGCAGCAGGTGAGGGAGGTTCAGTAGATGAGGCAGCAGGTGAGGAAAGTGAGGCAGCAGGTGAGTAGATGAGGCAGCAGGTGAGGAGGTTCAGTAGATGAGGCAGCAGGTGAAGGAGGTTCAGTAGATGAGGCAGCAGGTGAGGAGGTTCAGTAGGAGGCAGCAGGTGAGGAGGTTCAGTAGATGAGGCAGCAGGTGAAGGAGGTTCAGTAGATGAGGCAGCAGGTGAAGGAGGTTCAGTAGATGAGGCAGCAGGTGAAGGAGGTTCAGTAGATGAGGCAGCAGGTGAAGGAGGTTCAGTAAATGAGGCAGTAGGTGAAGGAGGTTCAGTAGATGAGGCAGCAGGTGAAGGAGGTTCAGTAGATGAGGCAGCAGGTGAAGGAGGTCCAGTAAATGAGGCAGCAGGTGAGGGAGGGGCCGACGTCCTGGATGAAGGAGAGAGTGAGAGCGACCATGTGAGGAGGACACACCAGCAGGTGGTAGCGGCCCGACACCCCAGCTACACTCTCTACCTTCTCCTGCGCAGCCACACACCGGTCTCTGTCAACCTGCGAGTGTAAGGGTTCAAATTCTGTCTTAAAACTCTATAATATAACTTAGCCTACACTATAAACCTAACCTAACATAACTACCTCCACTGTTTACTACACTACTACTACTTTACAGTCACTTGGAATCGAGTCTGACGATCATCCAGATATGATACAATGATATTAGCTACTAAGGACGCCACCATCGTTAGTGAGTTCCTAGGTTACCAGAGAGGCCAATACGGGAACGACAGGGACGTCCACAGATGGTACACGTGTGGAGGGCTACATCTAGTGCGGGAGGAGCGGCGGCAGCGCCTTTCCAGCGCTGACGCTTGTCTGCCTCGGTATACAGTCGGGCTAAATCGAAAGCATTGACACCTTTACGTGTGGCGCTCCTCCAAGCGTTATGATGAGGAGGTGGATTTGGCTCTTTTTCAGGTTTGTCTAAGACTGTCCTTGCACCTTTTCTGTTGCCCGCCAGCGTTGCGTTTACCATTCGTTTGGTGACTGTAATTTAGTTGCTTTCGTAAACTACTGTCGCCCATGCGGGTAACACGACCAGTCCAACGTACCGTAGTTGTTCATTAATAATGGTAGCCTCTATATTCCTACAGTTGGTGTTCTATACACGTGCAACTTTGTAGATAATTTTAGCTCCCTACAGCTGAAGGACACAGGTACGGAGTCTGCCAAAGGCTTGAGATGCACATTTGGTCAGATTCAATTCAATTTCAATTTCAATTGTGTATTCCTTGATAGAGGAAGCGGGATCCTAGTGCTGTCACTAGGTACCCCTGTACAATAACACCAGAAGCATCTGGCAAGTGTGACAAGTATATACAGTATAAATATTATAAAGGGGCTTACTAAAGCCTAAGGAAGGAAGGATATTCCTTTAACACATAATCAATGTTATTTTGATCAGATGCTGAATCTCTTCATCGATGTCTACGGTGTTGGGCAAGTGGGAGCCGAGATATTGAAAGTGGGTGGTAACATTAGAGAGAGTAGTACCGTTAAGCTGGATGGATGGTGGCGGTGTGGTTGAACCCGGGGCAGGCTGAAAGAGAATTTGAATCTTACATGCATTCACCTCAATGCCGCAGTGTGCATACACATCTGCGTAGGTGTTCAGGATCTCCTGTAGCGACGAGTGTGAGGTCGTCTGCATACATCATTTTTTTTTTTAGTTTATTGGGCACCCCCCTACATCCTGTGCAAGGAGAAGAGCAGAAGCGCTTACAGCGCCCATCTGGGAAGCATGCTAAGTTCATGTTTGCCTTTATGTCTCATGAGTTAAGGGCGTAGACGCCTGAAGGGTCATAGGTTTTTTGTCAAGGGCGTAGAAGCCTGAAGAGTCATGGGTTTTTGTCAGCAAGTTATTGGAAGCTCCAACATCTTTCCCTGAATACGAATTCGCAACTTTTCGATTTACAACAGGTACCTACTTTACTGCGAGGTGAACAGGGACCAAAGGGGGCTAGGAAGTGTGTCCAAACAACTTTCCACCGGCCCGGAAATCGAACCAGTGACATCTTGCTTGCGAGGCAAGAGCGGTACCGCTCTACCACCGGCGCCCCAACGTCTGCATACTTTAGTTCAGTGACGGAAACGGCCGACACCTTTGCTCTTGCCTGGAGTCATCTTATGTTGAAAAGTTCCTTCATCCGGTACCGGATACTGGATGTCCACCCGGCTAGCTAAACTGGAACTGGCACAAGTAAGGAAAGCAGCCAAGAAAGTGGAAAAAAGAGTTGGTGCCAGTACACATCCTTGTTTTACCCCCGTTAGGATGAGAAAGAACTCAGACCGGGTTGCCAGTGTACTGGACACTGCCTTTCATGACACTCGCTCTTTCTCTACCAATTGTGGTGTCCCACAGGGTTCTGTTCTTTCATCTGGTCTCTTCCTTCTTTTTATCATTGGTTTACTTCGCACTTCGACTAATTCTACTCATTCTTACACTGATGATTCTATTCTTCACTCTTCTTCACACTTTCCTCTTCCCCCTAACTTTCAAACTACCGGGGGGGGGGGGTAAATCTGTTTCTAGAGCTGATATCATTACATCTACCAATGAGGATCTGTGCAGGATCTTCGAATGGGGAGTAGAAATTTGGTTAAATTCAATAGTAATAAAATTCAGTATTTATCAATTACACTTTCCAAATTAGACGATCTCCCACAATCACATTTCAGGACGCTATCATTCTGCCAAATTATAAAATAGATATGCTAGGCCTCACCATTTCCTCTAATATGTCATGGAAGCCAGATATCCTCAACTTTGCTAAAGCTGCCTCCCGAAAGCTGGGAATGCTGTACAGATGCAGTAGCTACTACACTCCTGAGCAGTTGCTTTAAGTATATAAGGGATTCTTTCGTCCCAACTTGGAGTACTGCTCTCATATCTGGGTGGCTCTTCTGTCCAACTGTTAGATAGGGTGGAATCAAAGGTATTTTGTCTTATTAACTCTCCTCCTTTAGTTGATAATCTTTCTTCCCTGTCTCTTCGCCGCAATGTTGCTTCACTCTCTCTCTTTTGCGGGTAGTTTAACGGGCAATGTTCGGTGGATTTGGCATCCTGTGTACCGCTGGCAAGGCTCGTAATACACGTCTTGCCAGCGGTGCCCAGCGGTGCCCAGCGGTGCCCAGCGTTTCTCTGTGGATGTCAGTTCCACTAGAATAACCCGTTATAGTACTTCCTCCTTTCCTCACACAGCCAAATTGTGGAATGCTCTGCCTTCTTCTGTGTTTCCACACTCATACAATCTGTCTCACTTTAAAAAGCTGATTTTCCGGCATCCTCGTGGTGCAGATTAACATACCCTTTTTCTTCTCTGTTTTTTTTAATTTCTTTTTACTCTAAATTTTGTCGCCCCCTAGGCCCTGTTGTGGGTCGATGATCTGTGCCCGGGTGGGTTATTCCCCGTAAGAAAACAAAAGTCACGACGCTGTTCTCTGCATTTTTCCTATATCTGACGGGCAGCAAAGATCGAGTGCCACGTGATGGTCTAAAACCAAACTACACTGCACTACACTACATCCATTACCTACTAGACACAGTACACTCTTATACACACTACATCCAATAAATTGTTATTACTACACTCCTATACACTTTATCCAGGCCACAATACACCTGTCGTGCCTTTACCAGAGTTTGACATGACCTTTGACCTGGCAACATACCTTGTACTCAGATGAAACCCCGCGACACTGGTGGGTAAATGTTTTGGGATTGTTGAAGAACTGGTCATCTGCCCACGCTGCCGTGACAAAAGACGTCTAAAACAGTACAGTAGAGAAGTTAAGTCAAGGTAAGTCAGGAAAGATCAAGCTGGGTTTATTATGTTTGCTTACGTTTTGTTTCATTAGACAAGTTTAAAAGATAAACTCAATTTGGATCACACGAAGAATATCCACCCCAGCTTATTTCACCTAAAAATTAACCACCGTAACAGTATTTGGAGTGGTTAGGTTAGGTTAGATCAGGTTAAGTTACGCAAGGTTAGGGTAGGTTAGGTTAGGTTAGGGTGGTTAATTTTAGGTGAAATAGAGTGGGGTGGAAATTCTTCCGGTGATCCCTCAATACAAAAGGTTATGGACATTACGGAACCAGTTGACCTTACTGTAGTATGGTATTTGTGTATGCGTGACCGGTCTTAAATATACTAAAGTCTTTAAGTAAATAATCATTGTTTTAATTTAATTGGGACCTGCATGGCACAGCGATCTACCTTTCCTTTAGATATGTGATCGATACAGTTGCGGTCGTCATTTATAGCTGCTGCGAAAGTTTTGTCCAGCATGAGGCCGGGGAAGGTCTTACAGAGGAGATAGTCCAAGTCACTGAGTGAAGAGAAGGCTGCCACTCCCACCACCACCGACTCCTCCCACGGCTCACACTGATGTACCCATGAGTCAAGTCCTGCTGGAGTGCTTTCGCCGTGGCAGTTTTCACACTTAAACTTCAACTCTACTGATGTACTTGGCGAGTCTGACGAGACAATATTTCAAAAGTGTAATGTTTACTGGTTTTGTTGGATTGTATAAACCGTTAAAGCATTGTTATTAACTTATATAATATATACCCTATTTTGTTATGTAAAAATGAGCCTTGTTAGTCACAATCTGCATAAAAAAATGAAGTTTTGGATATAACCGATTCATTTGAGTCTCTCAGAGGTCAGACCTTTATTTTTATTTTTATTATCATAACCTGTAGTAATACTGAGAATTAAATACCTAACTTCATCTGATTTAATACTTGTTAAATTCTCCTGCTAAGGACAATTTAAAACTCAGCAGTACAGCAACTCTCCGGCTGTGGAAAAGGAAATAATCCCCAAACTCAAGTTAATCTAAATTAGTACAGTACTGTGCCTTCAAGTTGTTGGCTGTATCACTGTGGAGTCACTAAAACTCGGGTCTTCCTCACCTGGCACGTACAAGTTGCAGGTGGTGTCCTCGACGACATTCCTGAGGGACGACAATGTCTGACACATCCTCGACGACGACACCCAGTTGAACCCCACACACTGGGTCTCTGACGACACAACACCTGGTTTCTCAAAGGTTCACATATTAAATTCCTCCGCTGAGAGGAATCTTATTACAGTCTAGAGTTGTTTTACATAATAATTTTTGTGTTGCTGCCGAAACAAGCATTTTAGATATCAGTGTACACAGTGATAGCACAAAGAGATATAGTGGTTGATGAGAACGGGAAAAGAAAGTATAAGGAAATAATATCTAAAATAAAACAAACAAAAATCAACAAGCTTGGCTATCCTAAAAGGGATTCTATTACCGAGCAAAGAAAGTTTTATTTAATTTTTCTGTGTTTCTAAAGGACTGATTGGGTGTATAAAAATCCCTTATTAATAGCAAAATGCAGTATACATAGAGAGCACATAAATACCGATAAATCGCCGAAGTGAAATGAAAAAAAAGAAGAGAAGAAAACAGAAGACAACACTAAAGGCAACAGAGGAGGTTAAAACCAGCAGAGGGCAGCTAAGGACTGTTTTTTTGTTTTTGTTTTTTTTAATAGGTGTAAATCTATACACAGTATGCACCCCACCCACAACAACAACAACCATGAAGGATATGATGATATGTGACTACTGCGGGGAGATGACGGAGATGGCTGATACAGGCCTGACAAATGCAACGTAAGGCATACCGTAAGGCATGACGTAAGCATGAAAACTGTTGCTGGTATTGCCCTCACTGCATAGTCAAGGTGAAAGAGGCGATTGCAAGCCATAAGGGATCGAGTTCCCTTGGGACGAAAGTAGATGAAGCTGGAACCCTCTTGGTTGCCAAACTAGGAAAGAGATCCTTGATAAGACTGAGGAAGTAGCCGATAGAATGGAGGTGGTTGCTAAGAGAAGTTATGCTGAAGCATTAGCACGGCCACGGGGGGTGGCGGAGAGTAATGCAGGATCAGAACAAGTTCTACAGCAGCTAGGGACTCTGAAGAAGTGTGTCGAAGAAATGAAAATTAACGGACCTACTGTTAGGGGAGAGGAGGAAGAACGGGAACGTTTCCAGCGCAGGAACAATGTAATAGTTTTTGGAGTCCCCGAGAGCCAGGCGGAGGGAACTGAGAGTAAGGTAACACATGATAAGATGCAGTTTAAGAATATTTGTACAGAGGTTCTGAAGATGCCATCAACCCCACTGGATGTGAGGAGGCTGGGACAAAAGCAAGGGGATAAGCCTCGCCCCCTCAGGATCACACTAGTGAGTGAGGAGGAGAAATGGGGGGGTTATTCGGCAGGCAAAAAACTAAGCAAGGAGCGAGGCATCTCGGGGTGTATTCATTCACCCAGATCGCACGGTAATGCAGAGGAACAAACAGCACAAGAAGCTCCTGCAGGACAGGAAGCAGAAGAGGGAGGAGTCAAGGAGGAACGGGGACGGGTGTACATGAGTTATATTCAGGGGGACGGTAGTGGAAGCAAGTGTGCCGACACAGGGCCAGGGGCAGCAGTGCACCCTCCACCTGCTCTACCCCCACCCGGGAGGTGGCACCAGCTCGCCTACCAGACAGGAGGAGACGAGCGCCGTGTAAACAATGACATTTCTAACCACACCCTGCAAAATACAGTGTACTTAGCAAATGCTGCAGCTTCTGAGAATAGGTGGGGGGGCGGGGGTTACTAAGAGCAGAGAAGTTACTGAAAACAAATTCTGGCTTGAATGTCATGTACACTAATACTGACACGTTTTTGAAAAAGAGAGGAGTTTGAAACACTACTGAAGGTACACTAACCAGATATTGTAGGAGTTGTAGAACTGTTGTACAAGAACAGGAGAATCGACCCAGAGGAATGTGAGTTCAGTATTGCTGGATATGACTCATTTACGAATCTGTCTAGAAACTTGCAAGAGGGGTGTGGTTATCTATGCTGGGCAAGACCTTAGAGCCAGCCAGGCGAGGGTACAGGGAGGGATGTTTTGAAGAGTCCAAGTGGTGTAAAATTAAATTAAAGGGAGGGACTTACTTATCGTCGGGTGTATCTACAGATCCCCAAACTGTGACCCACTAAATCAAAGGAACTTAGAGCCTTAATAAACAACGCGGCAATGCTCAACCCTAGACACCTCCTTATCATGGGGACTTTAACTATGGCGACATCGACTGGAAACGAGTTCACCCCAAATGACTTGAATAACCCTGCTACTCTTTTGTAGAAACTCTGAGAGATAATTTTCTGTTCCAACATGTTAGAGACCCGACACATTACAAAGGGGAGCAAACACCCAAGCCACTTGACCTCATCATAACAAACGAGGAGGGTATGGTGGCCAAACTGGAACACCTTGCCCCAGTTGGCCAGTCGCCATATAGTGTTGTCATTCAGATTTAACTGTTACCTAGTTAAAGATAAGGCCAGATCAAAATGCAAATATTACAAGGAAATTACAATGTGATGAGGGAAGATATGAGGGTATCGCCTGGCCTGACCATTAGGCACAAGAACGCGGACAATACGCTGAATATCATAACAAGTAAAGTCACCCATTTCATCGATAAATATATAATCAAGACCAAACCCAGTGCCTCTAGAAATACGAGGGAATCCTCACACATGAACCACGCGGCGGTCGACAAAGTTAAGAAGAAAACCAGAAATTCAAGACGTGGGTTGGGTCAAACGATCAGCAGGGCAGGAGGATGTATGCCAGAGCCAGAAATCATGCAAAGATAAAGTGTAGAAGGGATGAAAAGGAGTTCCAGAGGCTGGTTGCAAGCGAAGTCAAATCAAACCCAAAGGCGTTTTACCGCTATGCAAAGTAGAAATTAAAAACGCGAGTAGGAGGATTAGACCTGAGGCATTGAACAGCTTTTTTTCCTCGGTGTTCACAGGAGAGGATGCGATTAACCTTCCTGTGTTTGATGACAGACGGTTCGACACAGCACTGACCCACATGGTGCATCCCACAGTGCTAAGAGAGTTGTGCAACGAGCTTGCCGAGCCCCTGAAGATCCTGTTTTGTAAATGCCTGGATGAACAAAAGGTCCCCAGTGAATGGAAATGGCATGTGAGTCCTATTTTCAAGAAGGGCGTCACTCCACGAACAACTATAGACCGGTGAGCCTGACCAGCAAAATATGCAAAGTACTTGAGAGTATTATCAGAGATGTAGCAATGGAACATCTACTACGAAACAACCTTGTAAAGGATTGCCAACACGGTTTTATGCGGGGCGCTCCTGCTTAACACAATTGCTCAAGGTATTGGATATTTGGACCCATATTCTAGAACTGGGTGGTAATATCGACAATATATACCTAGATTTGCCAAAGCTTTCGACAGTGTACCCACGAAAGGCTGAAAATCAAACTGGAAGGGTACGGAATTCGGGGAAATGTCCTAGCATGGATAGAAGACTGTCTATATGACCGCAAGCAGTGTTTGGTGATTAATGGCACGAATCATTATCCGTACCTGTCACAAGGGGTACCACAGGGCAGTGTATTGGGCCCATGTTGTTTGTTTGTTTTGTAAATGACATGCCTGACGTTATACACTCCTCCATACAATGTTTGCCGACGACGCCAAGTTATTTCGGGAAATCAAGAACCAAGCGGACTGTGAAGAACTGCAGAAGGATCTCTGTGATCTCCAAGAATGGTCGAAGAAATGACGGCTGAGATTCAATGTCACGAAGTGTAAGAGGATGCACCTGGGGCGTACCAACGGTAAGGAGGCGTATCATATGTCCCAACGGGATGAAGAAACTGCACTACTGAGACTGAATGTGAGAAGGACCTGGTGTGTATGTTGACAATGAGCTGAAGTTCTCGGGCCATTTCGAGAAGGTAAATCAGGCAAATATATTATTGGGTCTTATAAGAAGGTCGTTCAGATATTTATACGGTCCGTCCCTCGTAACGATCTTGAAGAGTGAAGTGCTTCCCCATCTGGAGTACTGTCACCCCATCTGGTCCCCGAGATATGCTAGGACTGTCAGTTGGTTGAAAATGTTCAAGGAGGGCCACCAGAATGGTGCCTGCACTTCGGCACCTCAGCTATCCTGAGAGATTGGAGCGCCTGAACTTGCTAGCTTATACTACAGATGGGCAAGGGGCGACCTAATTTGGTGTATAAGCATCTCAAGGGCACTACTCAGTCGAATGTCCCATTTGGAGCTGGCGGACGCTCGGCCCACACGGGGTCACAGCTCAAGATTGAAGAAGCCGCAAGTCCAGAAAACTGTGAGGGCAAACTTTTCGGAGTGAGAGTTGTGAACTCTTGGAACAATCTACCAGAGAGTGTTGTGACGGCACTGAGTGTGAGCTCTTTCAAGACAAGACTTGACCAACACTGGAGCAAGTTCAGGTGCATCAGGAGCGGTGCATGCCCTGTACTTGCCAACAGTGCGTAACAGAGACGTGACCGATAGCCCAAGCGGCTATTGAGTCGATCATTTGGTGAAGAGGATACAAGAAAAGAAAGTAACAGAGACGTGACCGATCGTCCAAGCGGCTGACGAGCCGATCAGTGGTGAAGAGAATAAAAGTAAAGTAAAAATATAACAATATATCACTGGCGGCAGCGCGACGGGCAACTGATGTACAGTATACAAACCAACGTCTTGAATGTGTAATTTCATCAAGTGACTAAATTACAAACATTAAAGACTTTTATATAAACACTGAACGTGTTTCAATGAGCACAATCAACGTACAGCCACGGAAAAAATATCGTAGATGGTGCACTGGGTCACAAGACGTCTCAGGTTCACGAGTCTCAGGGTTCATAGTTGGGAGGGTCGTAGTATGACCATTATTATACTTAGGGTACTTAGTGTATATTTGAGCATACTATATTGATACAGTATGATACCGGTTGTTTAACAGTGTGGTGTTTGAATATACCAACACTTTAATGACGTGCTGTGTGATGGCCGACATTCCTATCTGGGTATCGTCGACATGCAAAGAACTTTTCAGGCTACCACACATCGTTAATTATTAAGAACGGCTGCCGCATTAAGTGTGTGTGTGTGAATTAAATATAAGAA